GAGCGACGTGCCATCCAATGCTGCAGTTCATCCTGCCGTCCCCAGTCGCCGCCTCAGTAGCACCGTACAAGCCTGGTTTTGTTTCTACGCCGCGCCATGCGCACCTCTCGACTAGACATATGTGTATAGTGTATATATATATGCAAGAGTGACCCTAGGCAAGGGTGAGGTATGGTGCGCGGCTCAGACAGGCCGCGGGTAGGCCAAAATCAAGCGCGCAGGGCAGTGCTACTGGGGGGATGGGGGCCCTGTGAGTGAACCCGCATCGAAGGTCACCCTGGCGCAGGGCCACTCCTTAGGTGCACCCAAACCTTTTGACAAAGGAGCCCCCAACTGTCCGCAACTCAGGCCACTCGCTTCCAGATCGGCTCTTCCGCTCCCCCCCCCCCAGGCCCGAGAGAGACAGCACCCGGAGGCCACGAGCGGCGGAACACGTCCGATCCCGGACCTCAGACGTTGTGAATTCTCAACCCCGTGATGTGGGCCAGGGACACACACGCAAACTTATACATAGTCAAAAGAAGACCCTGGTTTCACTGAATTTTCCGTATGTTCGGGAGCCTCGTCTTCCCATCCACTTCCCACTCCTCCTATATATCTAATAAGAACCGACGGTTCGTCGTGTCCGTGTTGACTTCTACCTCTTGAAGTATGGGCTCCTGGAGACCCTGACCATTGCCCCAGTGCTGGCGCTTCGCCGGGCGACTTTCTCACGGTCCCTAGGCCGATGTAAGGGGTCCTGGAGGTCGAACGTTTGCCGAAACCTCCCGTCGCGACTTATCCATGACTAGGCGGAATATGGGCCGACCAATGTCCCCGACGTCGGCACGTCATCGCAAGTCTGGACCCCGCGTTCCCGGCCATGCTTGACGACAGTGGGGGGACGGCGACGGCTCTGGGGGGGCGGCCGACATCCACCGAATACCGTCCGCCAGGAACGCTCCTAGACGCGAGGGGGTCTGAGCCCACGGGTGAGTGAACTAGCCCTTGACCTCTCGCGGGCGGCGCCCCGACCAGAAATAAACCGTGGCCGCGAGGAGCCTCGTGGAGGCCACCAGGGCCTCAAACAAACACCAACGCCTCGATCCACGCGCCTCTATCCGTGGGGCCTGGGCAATTTTCTTGGTGGAAAGGGTTTGCGTAGTGTTCGTCATGTGCCCAAAGCGCCGGAGGCCTGAGATCCACAGGTCGGCCCGGCGCGCACAGCCGCGGACAGGTGACGAGGAGGGAGGAGGAGATGAAACGGAGAGAGAAGGAGGAGGAGGAGGAGGAGGAGGAGCATCTGGAGCATCTGGATTGGGCGACTGGGTCGTTGAAAGGTTCCTACGCTGGCTTCTGCTTGACAGCTCTCCTGGCGAGCTCGACCTTGCTGAAGGCCTTGGGCCAAAGACCCTGGTAGGTACGTTTACGGTAATTAATTCGCTTACCGTCTAGGCGGCCTGAACACTGTTCGCTCAGTTTCGCGAGCTGTTCGGCTGCGAAAACACCCACAGACACTACAGAACCACACCCCGACCCTCTGGTGAAACCTGAGTGCGTGCGAGTGGCGAGCAAGACCCCCTGAAATGTGCACCTCGGCCCCAGGAGGAGGTTCATATACCTCGCCGCCCACATTGACTCAGTCAAAACATGGCGAGTCCAGCCACACCTTGTTTTCCTAGCAGGTGAAGCCGAACTACGACACTTAGTGCACGAACGACCATTCTCACCCAACTGATGGCGGGAGGCAAAGGCTGCACAAATGCTTGGAGCGGGAGGCGTCACAACGACCGTAGCTCTTCGTCGCCCACGGCCATTCTGACGGTCCTCTCTCTCGAGACATTCCTAGGCGCGAATGGCCTCGAGGGAACTCTTGAGGATCCTCATCCTGACCGCGAAGGCCATGCATTCGACTTGTTTTACTCTAGCACGGGTAGCCTCAGTCAGGCGCGCCGCCTCGGCGCCTAGGGCGGCCAGGCGATCGGCCTCTGGATTGCCCATGCTGAAGTACCTCGGGTTCTGGGCGGAGGCCTGGTGCAGCTCGAGGTGGGAGTTGACGAAGAAAACTGATGCCTCCTCTCGGTCCTTCAGCGCCAGCCCGATGGAATGCCACAGGTCGTCGTTACCTGTAGGGCACCCTCCACTTCTGCTCGTGCCAGCCTGTGCAGACCGCTGCATAGTCCGCGATGTAGAACAAACACCGCCAGGCCCATGCCCGCGCGGCGTAGTCTGGGAGACAACGTGTCCTTGCCTCCACTTGCATGACCAAAACAGAAACAGGGTGTCGCCTCGGACCCTGGAACCAGATCTGCAGTGGTCGCCTCGTCTTGAAAGACCCCGCACTCTGCTGCAGGTGGTGGTTGGGCCTCGACCCGCTTGGCTGGAATGAGTCCCCTGGTCCAAAAACACTCGTCGGCCTCAGCCTGAGTGTAGGCCTTGATCGCATACTGCTCCCTGAGTTGATACACGGGGCTGCTGGACTTAGCTGAACAGCCCCACGCGCGATGAAAACTAGTCTCCACCTCATGTCGGCATCTTGCACACGCGGTCGAGTGCTGCCGCTTGCAACGAGCTTGTCGCCTAGCCCGAGGCCAGGAAGCGCCCGTCGCAACTGCGAGCATCAAGCCAGTGAGCCTTCTGCCGCCAGGAGCTCGTTCGAGCTGCTTGAGCAGCTGTCGGTAACTGTCGTTGCATGCACCGTCTTCCGACCCAGCGCCTCCAAAGTACAAGGCCGCCTTGCGCCATAAATCTGCCTGGCTGGTACTCTGAGATTCGTGGAAGAAATCGTTGGGGACGTCTGTGGCCGCGCGGCCTGTCAAGAAATCCGTCTGAAACACCCGCCCACTAGTAAGATCTGGAATGCCCCAGGCTGTTGTTCAGGTTCCCAGCCTGCCTGGAGTAGGCAGGTGATGACAGCGGCAGGAGGTCCTCGCACTCGTCAACAACTTTTGGGCCCTGGGTCTTGAGGACAACTCCCGAACTAGCCAAGGCCCAGTGCGCTCGATACCTCCTCGAATGCGCGGTTCCGAGATCCACGCACCAATCCACGCCCGCAGGGTCTCGCATGGGAGACGGCACGCTGGATCTCTGTTCGGAGTGACAAGGTCGAGGAGGGTAGTAGCACAGCGCCCAGTGGGCCGGGGGCCGCAACTGACGCCTGTCGTCGTCGTACTGCGGCCAGCTGGACACCGAAAACGCCGTGCAGTTGATGCCCACGAAGCCCTGCTGGCGCGGCGCCTTGCTGCCCCAGGCGCGCCGTGAGTCGATGGCGTCGGAGAGTGCGCCCGTAGCTGCCGATCTTGGTTGACATCCTGGCGTGCTTGGCGGCGCGCGCGACTCTGGTGGACCGACATCGTCGTCGTCCTCCGCTGAGGTCCGCTCCGAGATATGCCGCTGACCGCCTTGGCCTGGTGCCCGCGCGCCGCCGGCCGTCTGGAAATACCGCGGGCCTCCTGCATGGGATGACGCTCTGGGGGGATATCTTGAGTCCAGCATCATTCATGCACAGAACCGTATCCTTAAGACATAAGAACATCTGTTGACACATTGATTTGCTGGATCCTCGAGCTGATTGGCTCAAATCATCCACCCCAGCAGCGCCTGTGACATATTGACGTGAGCTTCAGTGATCTTGGCCATAATGAAGTGTGTGGCGCATTTGCCGAATCGGGTTCCTCCTCGTAGCCCTTCCACGATGGACCGTGTGGGGTTGAAAGGGGGACAGGCGCCAGCCTGCCGCACACATCTTGCGGCCATGCATTGCTGCAGTTCCAGGCCGAGGATCCCTGGAGGAAATCCTAGACGTAATGCTGCCGCTCCAATACGATGTCATCCGACACGGTCGTAGAACTGAGCAAAATCTAGCAGCCCATGTCCATGTGCAAAATAGAGCCTGCCAACAACTTCCTCGTCGACCGCCTTGAGGAACACCTCATGGACGGCCGCGTTGCCACGAATAGCAGCGTCCCATTGCGCCTCGCAATGGTCGGTCCAGTATCTGACATGACTCTCGCGGACCTTGGACCAGGTCCGTCCAAAAAGAGAAAAGAAGGCCGATCACCCTGTCCCCTTGCACCTTCTTGGGAGCAGGGTGCCGATGGTGATCAAAATCTGATGTGGCCAGACCTGGTATTGCTCGCAGGAGGAGGAAAAGGAGGAGGAGGAGGAGGAGGAGGAGGAACAAGAGGACGAGGAGGAGGAGAAGGATGAGCAGGATGAGGAGGAGGAGGAGGAGGAGGAGGAGGAGGAGGAGCAGCAACATCAGCAGCAACAGCAGCAGCAGCAGCTGGCGTCTCTCCTCCTCGTCCTCCTCCTCCTCCTCCTCCTCCGACTCCTCCTTCTGCTGCTGTTGCTCCTCCTCCTCCTCCTTCTCCTCCTCCTCCTCCTCCCCTTCCGCGTACATTGGCTCTCGCTTTTATCCTCCCTCTTCCCTCCCACCCTTCCTCCCTTCTGTCCCGCCCCTTCCCTCCCCACTGTCTCCCCCGATCCCGCCCCATCCTCCCCCCATACTCACCTGCGCCCAACATACCTTCTCCTACTCCCCCTCCCCTGGGAGGAACGGACCGCTGTGCGGTAACTTCCAGCACACCTGGCGTGGCTGCCGTGGGCCCAGCGGGGCGGTTGCTCGTCCACGCCGTGGTGGGAGTGCGGCTGAAGGACCGGAGTTCCAACCGCAAGTCCTATATGCCAGCCCCCTTCCTGGAATCCCTCCCTCCTCCCCCTCCCATCCTCCCTCCTCCTCGTCCCTTCTTTCCTTCCTGCCCATCCTCCCTCCCCCCTCCCCTCCTCCCTCCTCCTCCTCCTGCTCCTCCTCCTCTTGTCTCCTCCTTGCGTTGGTCCCCCACCTTCCCCCCCTCCCACCCTGTCGGCCCCCGGATACGAATGGCCCCTGCTCCCTCCTTCTTCCCTCCCTCTTTTCCCCCCTGTTCCCTTTCCTCGCCGCTCCCCATCCCCCGCCCCCCGTCCCCCCCGTTCTGTCCCCCCCCCTCCCCGATTCCACCACTCGCCGTGCCCCCCCCCCCCCCGAGGAGGCCGGGCCCCTGGCCGCAGCCTGCGACGAGGGCAGGGCCCGCGGAGGCGAGGGCCCGTCGACGGGCTCGGGCCTCCCCTGCACCTTGCGCGCCAGATCGCGGATCTTCACGTCCGCGACGCCGGTGTTGCGGTTGACGCCCTCGACAACAACGTCCATCACCTCCTGCCGCGGGGGCGCCTCCTCGCTCTCCTCCCAGTTCCTCCTCCTCCTCCACCTCCTCCTCCTACTCCTCCTCCTCCTCCTCCTCCTCTTCCTCGACTCCTCCTCCCCCCGCGGGCGCGCTCGTCACTCTTGTGATGCCAGTAATCCCTGCAGTCCTCCCGAGGGCGCACAGGGCCGAGCAGCGCAGATCCCGCTGCACCTTCTCAGCTGGCTCGCACGGAGGAGGAGGAGGAGGAGGAGGAAGAGGAGGAGGAGAAGGAGGAGGAGGGGGAGGAGGAGGAGGAGGAAGAGGAGGAGGAGGAGGAGGAGGAGGAGGAGGAGGTGGGAGGGGGACGGAAGGAGGAGGAGGAGGAGGAGGAGGGGAGGGAGAGGAGGAGGAGGGGAGGAGGAGGGAGGGGGAGGCGGAGGAGGAGGAGGACGGAGGAGGAGGAGGAGGAGGAGGAGTGAGTGAGGGGGAGGGAGGAGGAGGGGAGGAAGAGGAGGAGGAGGAGGAGGAGGAGTGAGGAGCGAAGAGGAGGGGGCAGGTGAGGAGGAGGAGGAGGGAGGAGGAGGAGGGAGGAGGAGGGGGGAGGGAGGGGAGGAGGGGAGGAGGAGGAGGAGGCGGAGGCGAAGGAGAAGAGGAGGAGGAGGAGGAGGAGGAGGAGGAGGAGGAGGGCGAGGAGAGGAGGAGGCGGAGGAGGAGCTCATGACAACCAGAGTCGGCCTCGGGCGACCCGTCGCCGAGCATGCCGTCGACAGGGGCTCGAACTGTGGCGCTCTGGGCGACAGTGGTTGGCTCCGCCCCTGCCTCCAGCGGCTCGAAGAGCAGCGACGAAAGCCGCTGCCGATTCTCCTCGTAACCGCCCGCCGCCGCACAGTGGCCCGCGGCAGCCGGCTTCGGATTTTCCACTCCCGCATCATCTAAAACAGCGGCAGTGCGGCCCGCTGCCACTGCTCTTCTCCCTCGCATGCGCCATCCTGGCGCCGTACAGTGAAAACGTGTAGTGAGGACGGGTGGTAAGGACGCAATGCCATTAGGATTTTCTGGGCGGTGGGCGACCGGTGAAAAGGGCAAAGAACGGGCCGCAGAGGCAAGGACACAAGGGTACCCTGGACGAAGGCGCGCGTCATTCCTGGGCGCGTTGACTGTAGCCGATCAGGGTGGGCCCTGAGGACTGGATGCACGGCGGGAGGTCTGATCGGATCGGGGCCCTCCCAGCGGCCACCAAGAAGCCGAATCTCGCGCGCAAGGGTGGCCGCCATTTGCCTGCTTCACGACCGGTGCTCGCCCTCCACTTGCGAGATCGCTTGCCTGGTGGCTTGACAGCTCGTGGACTGCTCGCTTTGCGTTCTCGCCCGTTGCTGATGCTTGCTGCTGCTTCATGTTGTTTGCTGCTGCGTGCTTGCTACCACTCGTTGTTAACTAGTATGTCTTGCCGCCTCTGGCTGGTGTCTGCTAGCGCGTGCCGCTGATTACTGCGACTCTGTCCTGCCGCGTGCTGCTGCTTGGTGCTGGTCAATCGTGCTTGATTGGTGTTGCTTGCTGCTACGTGCTGGGGCTGCGTGCTGCTGCTGCTGCTGCCAGCCGCTACCGCTTGCCGCTGCTGCGTGGTTTGCTGCTTGTTGTTCTTGATGGCATTGGGCCGTTGCTGATGGTCGCTGCAACTTGTTGTTGCTGGTTGGCCTCTTGGGGTGTCTTGGAGCCCTCATCGGGGCCTCCGGGGTCGTCTTCGGGCGGTTTCGGGAACCTCTTGGGCCGTCCCCGGCGACCTGAGGCCCGAAACAGCCAGCATAAGAAAACACGTCCTAACCCATGTGGAAATCACACGTTCTTGCGTCTGGATGCCCTCTTGGGGATCCTTCGGAAGCATATTGGGGCGTCTTCGTGCCCTCTGAGGCTCTTAGGGGCCATGGCGAGTCGTCTCAGGGGCACCTGGTGGCGTCGTGGCGCTCGCGTGAAGCAGATGTGGCTTTCGTGGGGCCTCTGGGCGCCTCCGGGAGCCACCGAGGGGGGCCCAAAAAAGGCGAGTCGGGTCCCAGGCCCGTCTCGCGTGCGCCTGCTCCTGCAGTGCAGGGCAGACGACGTCGGGTTCCAGCTTCGCCTGCACCTCGCTGAGCAGCGCCAGAGCCCACTGCCACTGCCCGCCCTTCCCGCACGCGCTGATGCCCGTGCTGTAGTTGACTGGGGCCGACCCGTGGACTCCGTCTACGACATCTTTCTGGAATGGTTCTCGGAGGAACGGCAGAGATTTAGCCGACAGCCTAAAAGCACGGCGGCAGCTGGGGCGGCGGCAGCGAGACCGCGTCTTCGTGTCCGAGCTCTAGCAGCGCTCCAGCTGTTTGGCCGTCGCGGGGCCGCCGCCGTCGCCGTCATCGTCGGCGTCGTTGTCGTCGCCGCCGCGAGGCCGCCGTCGTACCCGTCGTAGTCGGCGTCGTTATCGTGGTGGTGGTGGTGGTGGTGGTCGTCGTCGTGGGTTGTGGGCACCGGAAGGAGGCTGGCGACGTCGGTAGGACTGACCCGTGGACTCCGTCCACGAAATCTGCACGAACTGGCATCTGATTGCGGGGCCCGGCCTCACATTCCGCGCATGCCACTGCGTGCTGCTGCTTGCTACCGTTTTCTTGTACTCTTGGTAGTGCTTGAGGCCGCTGCTGCGTGTTCTTGCTGCTTGTGGCTGCAGGTTGTTGCTGATGGCCAGTTCCGCTTGGTGCGTGCTTCTACCCGCTGCATGTCGCTGCTTGCTGCTGCTGTGTGCCGCCGCTGCTGCTGTCTGCTTCGTGCCCACGAGAGAGATCGATGCTGCCCCAGGGCGCTCAAAATGTCGCACGGTGGGCTGTGCATGGGGGCTCACTGTGGACGCGCAGGGAGGCACGTCCTTTTGGGCGCCGTCTCCGCGCCCCTCTGGGTGAGACTGCGTTGGGGACTGCGCTCACTGGAGGCCTCTGGTGTATCTCGACTCACTTGGGCGGCAGCGGCGAAGGACGCCTTGGAGCTGGGAGGCAATATCAAAGGGAAGTAGTGCCCATGTTGCTATGTATTATTCGGCGCTCTTTCACTCGCGCCCGCACCCACGGAGGAGGGCAACGCTCCCTATGCGGCCACTGATGGCGGGCGCTCCCTTCTCCTTGGGAACCGTTTGGGGGCCTTTCGGGGTTTCTTTTCGGCCTCCTGGGGGCTTCTTGGTACCCTCTTAGGCCGTCTTGGGTGCCCCTTGGGCCGTCTTGGGGCCGTCTGGAGCTGTCTTGGACGCCCCTGGGGCTGTCTTTGGGCTGTATTGGGGGCCGTCTTTGGCCGCCCTTGGGGCTGCCTCAGGTGACTCTTGCGCCGTCTTGGGCCGTCCGTCCTGGGGCCGTCTTGGGCCATCATAGGGGCCCTCATGGGGCGCTCCTGACGCGTCCGGGGGCGATCGGGGCCGTCTTGGGCCGTCTTCCAGCACTTTGGGGCCTTCTGGGGCGTCTGGGGGGCCTCTTGGGGGCCTGCTGGCCGTTTCTGGGATCATCCTGGAACGGAGGGCGCGAACTGCTACTTCGAGTTCGTGTGGCCCTCTTGGGGTCGTCTTGGGCCGCCTTGGGGCCTCTTGGGCCGTCTTGCGGGCCTCTTGGTCTGTCTGGGAGCTCTCTACGTGGCCTCTTGGGCCATCTTTGCGCGACCTTGGGCGCCCTGGGGCCAGCTCGGAGCGTCGAGGCTCCGAAAAGGCGAAAACGCTGAAACCCTTAACAAAATCATGGCCTCCTGTCGGGCCTGACCCATGAACGCGCCGAGCTCCGCAGCTGTGGGCTGTCTCCTGAAACGGTAGGTCTGACCACGCGCAATCCCTGGGGGGATGGTGCGCCGATCCGGCGAGAACCTCACAGCCTGGTAGTCCGGGCTCGTGCCGTCCACCAGCTCGAAGTAGACGTCGGCGTCCGGCGTCGCGCACACGATCAGAAGGTCATTGACCGGAGTCGCTCCCGGCGGCTGCAAGTGGCCCAAGACCCGTCGCTGCTGCCATTCTCGTTCCCCGCTGTGCAGGATCCATGCCCAGAGCTGGACGACTCCTGACGCCATGGCGGCGAGTGGTCCCGAGGCTCAGGGTGCCGCACCAGCCGATCGCGATGAGGAAGCCCGAGGCCGTGATGGACGCGAGAGCGCCAGCGAGGAGGCCCCAGAGACGCCCCGCGGCAGCCGGCGCCTCGAGCGTCGGACAAGCCGGAGGCTCAGGGCAGGTCGCCTGCACTGGCGTAGGCGCCCCTGGGCACGCTGGGCAGCTCGGCGCCGCTGGGCACGTCAGCTGGCAGGTGTATGGCGGGCACTCTGGGCAGGAGGGCGCGGCGGGGCAACGACTGAGCTAGGAGATGACGCCCGCTCCGAGCCAATCGGTCGCACGGTTCAGCATCGAACCGTGCTCTCGCTTGAGCCAACAGGGTCACGGATAGACAGATCCGTCGTGATACAGAGATCACGTGCAACCCCAAGGCGGCCCATCCCCGAGACATTGGCTAACAAAGGCGTGACAAACACTTGGCATAAGCCCAAGCGGGGGGAAAGCCCGTTTCCCCCCCCCCAAACCGGACTCCCTGGACCTGGTGTTTTGGGGCCCTCCAGACGGGCCTCGAAGCGGCCACCGGGCCTCGCAAGGCGTTTTGCCAAGCCTTCCCAGCACACTTAAGGCGATCAGGGGGGTCATCCGAGACGTCCCAGAGACCCCCACGACAGCACAAGAGCGCTCCAAGAGTGACCGACGTGACCTCAAGATGGCCCAAGAGGCCTCCAGGACGGCCCCAAAGAGACCTCCAAGAGCACTCCCAAGAAGGCCCCCCGAGGCAACAATCATTGATTTTCTGTGGGTGTTTGATGACTTTTGGGGTTATCCTCTTTTCGGCTTCCCGACGCTCCAAGACAGCGGTCTTCTGAGCGTCCGAAGCCGCCTGGGAGGCTCCCAAATCGCCCCACAACCATCCGAAAGGGCTTCCAGGCAGTCCAAGAGAGCCCCCAAAAGGCACAACACGGGTCCAAGATGGCCCTCAGAGAGCCCCATGGCGGCCAAAGATGGCCCAAAGACACCCTCCGAAGAATTCCAAATCGTGATTCGGTCGTTCGGGGAGACCGCGATTGGAGGCAGGGTGGCCCGAGGAAGCCCCCGGAGGCCCCCAGAATACGCCCAGGAGGCCTCCAGAAGGCCTTAAGAAAGCCCGAAACAACTTTTGTGAGGCCCCTAGAGGCTCTCCAAGGAGGAACCTCCGCAAAAAAGAGCTGAGGAGGATGGGGAGAATGCGCAGGGTATGGCGAACATACGGAACAATAAGCATGGAGGAAGGATAACGAAAAACATCATTATAGCGGCGATGCCGGAAAAGGCAACCAGGAGTTATCGCTAAATTGTCGGCTTGACCTTCCTGCCATTCCGCCTGCATTCCAAACTGCAAGGACCAAGGTGCATGGCGCGAAGCGCCACTGCAGTCTTGTATATATATATATGTATGTACATTTATATATATATATATATATATATATATATATATATATAGGTGCCTTTCTCCATCGTTTCAGCAGCGAAGGCCATGGCGCAACAAAGCGATGCGGGCGGGTGGAGCAACGAAGAAAAAGAGGCGAAGTGAGATCCGTTCGGGCACGACACCCGAAATGCCCACTGAAGTGAGCTGCCCGCTGGCGCGCAATCGCCCCTGATCGCACTTGAGCCAAAATCGCACCGGAAGAGCAGGACCAGGTGAGGAGCGGGAAGAGGAAAGAAGAAAGGATGGAGGAGGAAACAGGAGGGAAGATGCGAATGAAGGGGAATAAGGGAGAGTAGCAATTACATAGAAGGAGGAGGTAATCGAGGATCCTCAGGACGTGTGTTGGCGCCACCGTGTGGTTGTGGAACAAAAACGTTCAACACGATGCAGGCGGTCACACGAGGAACAGCACAGGCCGCGTGCTGTCGGTGGAGCTGAGCGGGGGGACACCCACACACAACACACACACACACACGCACGCATGGTGCTAACCCTCTTAACTAAGGACCACCCACAGGAAAGTCGAGAAGCAACACAACATGTGAAAAACAACTTCGAAGGTCCGCGCGGATTCCTTGGATCGGCGCCGCTAGATACGCCCCCTGGCGCGCGGGCGCGGAGCTTGCCAGGGGCGGCGTCGGAAGCGCCGCGGGGGGGGGGGGGGACAGTGCGAATCCGAAAAATCCTCACGGACCACCGAATGTTATGTTCAAATAGTGGTTCGGGTGCGCCGAAGAGAAAGGCCACGAAGAGGGCAGTTGGCGCATCATGGCCCGAGGCAAATGTGCGCGGACGAGGGGGTGCCAGGAAACGTGTTGAAAGAACAAGGAAAGGGGGCCATGACATTTGGCAAATCTCATTGTCCCGGCCACGATATCCGCAGAATCCTAGTCCCCACCCCCCTCGACGCCCCCGACGCTTGGTTCTTCGACTGGTCCTCGCGGTAATCGAGCCGGAAGGCGAGCTCGGGGGGCTCGTCCAGAAACGCCCACCTCTCGGCGTGGATGTCTACCCACACGCCGATGGGCTGCCTATCTATCACCCTGCCACGGCGGATCACGCTGCCTCGCGGGGGCGGGGGGGGCAAGTCCGAGGCAGGGTCAAGATCGGTCAGTATCGAATCGGGCATTCGGAATCAATTGATATGTAATTTGAGGGGCGAACCTGATCGGACAAGAACGGGAAGCGCCAATTTTGCCAATTGGGCTGGTACGGGGGGAAAGATGTGAAGGATGATGGCGTCGACAAGGCGGCGGATGACGACGACAGCGTTGGTGACGGGGAGGGTAAGGAGGGGAGCGGGCGGACAATTTCCAAGACGCCCAAGATGGCCCCAAGATGGCCCAAGAGGCCTCCAATACGCCCCAAGAGGCCTCCCAAGAGGTCCCAAAGAGCAAACATCATTGATTGTCCTTTGGTGTTTGAAGAATTTGGGCGTTCTCGCCTTTTCTTCTTCCCGACGCTCCAAGACGGGCCAAGAGCCCAATAGGCCCCCAATACCGCCCCAAGATGGCCCATGAGGCCTCTAAGACTGCCCTAAGGCGGCCTAAGAGCGCCCCAAGACGGCCCAAGACGACCCAAGAAAGCAATAAGACAGCCCCAAGAGAGACCCAAGAGAGGGAAAACGAACCGAACATCCAAGCCTTTCGCCCCAAGAGGTCCCCAGGAGGCCCCAAGAGGCGACCAAGAGGCCCTAAGAGGCCTCCAAGAGGCACCCTAAGAGACCCCAAAGATGCACTAGGAGGCCCCAAAACCGCTCCCAAGAGGCCTGATAACTGCCTCCGAGAGGCCCACGAGAGGCCTCCCACGAGATCCCAACGAACATCCAATACGCCGCATACCCAAAACCCAAACATGGCGGCGGGATGGGCCCAAAGCCATTCGATGAAGCTCAACTGTAACGCAAACGCTTGCACCGAACGTCCACAAAAGGCATCAGGTGGAGTTCGCTACCCGCGCGAGTTCACACGTGGCGCTGAAATGGCGCGGGTGTTAAACCACGTCTGGTGTATCCCCCTCCTGCAATTCGTTATCATGCTGCTCTTGGTCCTCGTCCTCATCCGCATCCTCCTTCTCATCGTCATCATCATGATCATCATGATCATGGTCATCATCATCATCAGCATCAGCATCATCAACATCATCAACATCATCAACATCATCAACATCATCAACATCATCATCATCATCATCATCATCATCATCATCATCATCATCATCATCATCATCATCATCATCATCATCATCATCATCATCATCATCATCATCATCATCATCATCATCATCTCCATCTTCATCATCATCTTCATCACCATCACCATCATCACCATCCTCCTGGTATGGTCCTTTCGCTTCGCCAGGCATGGAGGCTTCTTCACGTGACCGGGAGAGCGAGTCGGGCGCGCGCCTGCGCGAGACAGTGGCCGAATTCCACATGGATGTGGTCAGCACGACGAGGCAGGACTACCGACCGACGTCTCGCCCAAGCCGATGAGGCAAAGGCGCTGGTCGCTGATCGCGAACACAGGCCCCGACGGCCTGGCGATCGAGGTGTGGAAGGCCGCCGGTGACCTTGCAGCCGACCCATAGCAGAAATCATCGAGGACGCCATCCAGACCAATGGCGTCCCAGAGGCATGGCGCGTGGGAAGGTCCGCCACACTTTTCACAGGAAAGGGCGACACGGCAGAGTGCGACATATACCGAGGGCTCCTGGTGGGCGATCAAAATTCGAAAATCTTCGCAGGCGTCGTGTGCCCTTCTGCTCAACGCCGAGTTGAGGAAGCACTAGCTTCGCAGCAGTGCGGTGGGGTGGCGTGCTCTGGAGCCAATCGTGGCCACCACGTCGTGTCGAGCTTCGTCGAGAGGACCGCCATCAAGAAGAGGCCCGCAACCATTCTATTATTTGGCCTCACGAGGCTTTCGACAAGCTTGTACGCGAAATGGCCTTTCACCTTGAAGCTGGCTCCACCACCCAGGCGGACCTGACCGCGCAGGTCCAGCAAGTGGGAGTTGACGACACGGCAGCCTCGCACCTGGCCAACTACCCCATGCAGCACGGTGGCATCTCACAGCAGATCGAATTCCCCGAGCACCTCATCAGCTTAGTGGCCGACCTGCACAAGTACACCTGGTTCGCGCTCCCCCCAGAGGGCAGGGTCATCTGGACGACGAGGAGCTCACGCCAAGGCTTCCGATTCGGCGCCTTGATTTTCAACACTGTTGATAGCGTGGCCCCGGGGTAGCTTCGAACAGCGCTTCACGAACTCAACCAGCCGCCCGCCATGGGCCCACCGGCCCAGCGCCTTCCCCACGCACGCTACACTGTGCCAGTTGGGGAAGCCACGTCGCCCTGGTAGCCGAACCGGCTCACACCACCATGGCGAGGCACGGCATGCAGCTTGATTGGAATCCTGGCAAGTCAGAGGCCCTCATCATGTTGATGGGTAAGGGCGCACGGGCCGCCTAGGCAGAGGCAATGATTGGCGAGCGCCTTGCCTTGGACCTAACTGGAGTCCCAGGCATCGAGTGTCTCGCGGTGAGCGAGTATAAGCATTCAGGATCCATGCAGTCTGGGGTCGCGTCTACTGCCCTGGACATACGTGCGCGCCTGCGGAAAGCATCCGCGGTGTATCACAACCTGGTGCGGCAGGTCTTCGCAGTGCAACACATGAGCGTGCATCTCAGGCAGCGACTTTTGCAGTCCCTCGTCCTTCAGTGCTGTTCTATAACTCTTATCTGTGGACGCCTTCGCGCACGCACATACAATGGCTGCACCCACACACACACATATGTATATATAGATATGTGTATATATATATACATATATACACATATATATATATATATATATATATACATATATATATGCGCCGTGCACAGGGTCGCCCATGAGAACCGTTCCCCGATCCCTGCGAAGCCCCGCCTAAGCGAGCTTGCACTTGTACATAAATTCCAGCTTCCCTCCATTGACAATATACTCAGGCGGCGCCGCCTGATACACATATCCATCCTGATCTACAAGCCCTTCCCTGCGCTGCAAGCCCTCCTCCTGCCCCACTCGGCCTCTCCCTCACAGTGGTCTCGACGAATTCTCGCCGACCACCAGGCGATTCCCGGGCTCGCGCCGCCGCCAGCCCGGCGCGACCTAGATGCGTTCGGGAACCCAAGCTCATAAGAGGAGCAGCCGCATGGACAGAATTTATAGCCACCGACTGGTGGAAATTAAAACGTCCCGCCCGTGACAGTACGCTGGCATCGGCGTCTTTTGCCGACGACTCCACAGATCCTCTTACAGTTCCGTGCATGGAGCGTGACAAACCTTGCAGTAGCAGCAAAGCCGTCGCTACGCACAGAATGAAGTTCGCGGCCATCGGGAACCAGTGGCGTCCGTGATCCCAGCAGGGGCTACGACATGCCCTGCCTACTCAAATATGTTCAGGACCACCTGGCAACTTTTAGATCATGCGCAGTACAGAGCTCGCAAGGGCCGAGATGCAATGTTCGCGATCGATGTGCCGTCGCGTTATCTGTGTATTGTCGCAAGACTTCGGTTGATGGTTTCTGTCTATCTGCCTGTCTGGCTGTCTCTGTCTGCTGTCGTCATCATCATCACCATCATGATCATGATCATGATCATCATCATCATCATCATCATCATCATCATCATCATCATCGCCATCGACACCGACATGGACACCATCATCACAATGACCACCATTATCAGAACCCTCATCAACATCAACAACAACACCACCATCATCACCATCATCACCAACACGGCCAACACGATCTCTATCACCATCACCACCGCCATCATCATCAAAGGCGCATCGCCTGAGACACCTTCATCGTGACATAACAAATCCGAAGACTCTTCCGAACGTACGTATTGAGGATGTCCATGTTTTCGAGGATGCGCTGCGCGAATGCCCACATTCGAATACACCAAGACTTCGCGAGCGATGCCAGCATCTCGATGGGTCGAGAATGTTCGCAGCGCGAGATTCGTATTCAATGAACGACGCTTTAAATACGATCCTGCGGTATGTCTATTTTGTGAGGTTGTCTCAAGCGACATTGCCACTATGGGCGGCTAGTATTGCCAAAGACATGCGCTGACATAAAACATCACCTGTAGCGCAACCGATCTCCCCGAACGTCCACGAAGGGTATCAGGCGGAGTTCACTACCTGCGCGGGTCCAAACGTGGCGCTGACATTGCACGGGTATGCAATCGCTCCTGATCTTGGTCCCAGCCCCAAGTGACACATCGTTATCATACTGCTCTGCGACCTCTCCATCACTCAGAATGCCATCATCACCTTGAGCATCATCATCATCATCAGCACCATCATCAGCAGCAGCAGCATCATTATCGTCACCACCATCATCAGCATCACCATCACCATCATCATCATCATCATCATCATCATCAGCATCAGCATCAGCATCATCATCATGAGCATCAGCATCAGCATCAGCATCAGCGTCAGCATCAGCATCAGCATCATCGTCATCATCATCATCGTCAGCATCGTCATCATCATCATCATCATCATCATCATCATCATCATCATCATCATCATCATCATCATCATCATCATCATCATCATCATCATCATCATCATTTGTGGCTGCTCACTGGGGTGACGCTCGATGTCTGGACGAGAAAGAAGATTCAACAAGGGGGAAGAGGAGGAGAGGAAGGGGGAGGCGGGACAGGGGAGAAGCAGGAGGTGCCGAGGGAGGAGGGTGGAGGAACGAGAGCAGGAGGGGGGGGAGATGGCATCAGCGATGCGCCCCCGGGAAGCCTCGGGCGGCGACCAGGGGTCCTGTAGCAGGAGGGGGAGGATAGGGGGAACATGATACGCGGAGAGGGACTCTGGAGGGTTCTGAAACGCCTGGCTGCCTGTATTCCTTCTTCTCCCTCGCTCCCCGCACCTTGCCACTACTGATCCCTCCCGATATCCTTATCGCTCCTCCTCGCTCCTTCCTCTCGCCCTCCTCCTCCTCCATCCTCCATTGTCATCCTCATGAGATTCCTCTTCTGGATCGCTTTCCTCGTCCTTTAGCAACGCATCATCCTCTCCAGCCATCATACCCAATTTCGTCCTCATACTGATCATTCCTCCTTCGCTCCTCTCCCGTGGGACTGAGGAAACCACAAGAAACCGATACTGCTACTCCCCTGTGGGGAGGCGACGAGGGCCTCCCAGGAGGCCCCAAAAAGGGAAGACGAGGGAATGGTAGCGGCGGTGTGGGTACCTTTTCCTCCTCGCTCCTCTCCCGCGGGATGGCCTATCTTCACCTCCTTCGAAGTGATGGCCCTGGCTGCGACTGGAGAGCGATCTTGTTCCGGAGGGCCCCAGCCCAGTCGGAGGACGCGATGTGCAGGACACGAAAGCTCGCCAATACAGACGCCTGGCTTCCTGACCACACAATCGAGACGCTGCCACTACTGTTTAACAATTAAAGGGCCCTTACCCTGTTGAGAGGGGTAAGTTTGGAGGGCCACAAACAGTAGGGATAAACTAATCGCTCTGCACACGCATCAAGCTATACGAACTAGATGTATCATACCTAATGCAAGCACGGAGACCTGAGCTAGGCAAGCTACGTCTTCACTACAACATCAAGATTACGCTACCGAGGAAACCCACATACTTATATTATGGCTGGAGTGATGATAGCCTCCTTCTCCTCCTCCTCGCACCCTCGCCATTGATATACTAACCAGGATGCCCCGATTTGGCATCGAGGTCTCCGATACGCTGCGGCAGCCATCAAGCAACCGAACCGACTGGCTGCTCTGCAAGCCCGCTGGGCCGACAACATTCCCATACCGCCTCGGCGACCCACTGTTGCAGCGCAAAACGCGCCCATCGACAGCGCGCCACGCAAGCGTGCCACGCTGACGACCCGGAGGTGTTACCAAATCGTGCTGGGAGCTCGGCCTATGACGACCCAGAATGTTGAGACGCCAGGACGACGCGGCAGGGAAGAAAACCAAAACCCCACGAAACATGCTCGGATAACGGCCGCTCTCAGCGGCCACCCCCTGCGCACCCCTTACGGTGTCGGGAAAGTGCCACTCTTGCTATGCCTTGAACGACCGAATCGGATGACGGCCGCGCTGACGGACCACTTCCTGCGCACCCCATACGGCGTCGGGAAAGCGCCACGCCTGCTAGGCCCTGCGAAATGGGCGCGTATAGAGAGACCACCCCCTGCGCACCCCCTTCTGGTGTCGAGGAAGTGCCACGCCTGCTAGGCCCTGCGAAATGGGCGCGTATAGCCCTTTCCCGAGCGCGACCTCCGGAAGATCAAGCTCGGTGAATCAAAGAGCTGTCTCCCGCGAGATCTGGCACGAGGGACTGGATGGGGTTCGTCATGGATGCCCGATCCGCCAGGTTCAGTCTTTAGGCACCTTTCGTATGGGGGTAGCTTGACATTTGCCGGATCCTCTCTCGGGGTCATTCCATGTCGTGCTTCTGTCGCGGCCCCACCGGATGAGGCCCCTGGATCCTCAGGGTGAGCATCGTCGTCGTCGGGGCTCGCGTTGTCTGCCGTGCGTCGGGCATGGTCCGTGATCTGCCTCGTCGGCGTGCTGTCGAGGGTTGACGTCTCAAGAATCTCCAGTGAGCTCGAAATGGAGTTGGTATCCTTCTTATTGGTCGGAGTCTTCACATCGCCTTCCTCGCCGGACGAGCTGGAGTTCACGACGTAGGCTTGCGCGACATCGTCAGGTAATGGGTTGCGTGGGCGACCTTCGCCTCCATGCCATTCCTCTTCCTCGTCCAATTCATCGTCGGGAAGAGGCGTATCTGGCCTCCCACGGTTGACAGGGGCGCCATCGTTTCGCATCGAGTCGCCGGCAGGGGATGGACGACGAATGGGAGCGTAAGGACTCCATGAAACCATCTGAAGGATGACGTTGTTGTCCCGCTCGATAGGGGAAAACTGACGTGTGGGCGCGGTGGAATTTCCCAGTACCGTCTCTTCTGGTTCTTGGATGCCTTGAGAAGTCGGTTGCTTCAGTCAGACGACTTGAACCTCATACGTTCCTGGCTTTCTAGGGCCAAGGTCACTTCCCACATGTCCTTCGTCTTTTGAGAAGATGATCTTACTTGGCCCAAGATGACCGACATTGTCGGTCTTCCTTGGAATGGAGCTTTTTCGGCTGATAGCCCATCGTTACCCAACTTCAGCCCAACAGGGCCAATATCATCAGGTTGTACTGGTCGTAGACTTGGGGTCCATAGTAGCGGAACCAAGGATATGGCAGCCGGAAAGTAAGGTTTGGGTGTCCGTTAAGCAAAATGGTAAGAAAATATATAATGAGAGAGGGGAAGCGCGCGGCACGCGCGCGGGTCCTTTTCTAGTCTTCCGATCCAAAACACCTTCGGATCAAGTCCATGTTCGTATAACGCTGTATATTTACAGAAACGGCGGCAGGGAGCGTATGGTAACGACTTAATAGCAAAATAGTCGTAATAATGATAGTAGTAGTAGCCGTGGTAGTAGTAGCACTAGTGGGCGGTGATGGTAATTGGACCTATACTGATCGTAACCAACTAACGGTAGCAAAGCTCAACCGGCCCCCGTGCGGGGTCATCCGGCTCCGCGGATTAGGCTTGCTCGTCCCTGCTCTAATTCCAGCTTCCAGTTTCACAATTCTGTGTCCTGCTTCTACTGTGAATGGATGAAACCTGCGCAAGGTGGAGTGGAGCCGAAAAGGGCCCTGGTAACCCGCACCCCGGCTTCTTCTCGAAATTTCAATGAGGGTAGTGGGACACGTGAAAATTCACGACGTTCGCGCGCCCGAAAACCAAAATCTGTTGTCAACTACGCCATACTCGCACCCCTGAAGCCAGAATGCCTTGTACATTACACAATAAGAACAAACATGCAACGCCAAGTATTCCGCACTCGCGCTCCCGATACCGTAACCCCCTGCAGTTTACGCAGTGCTCGCGTCTCCGAGGCAAGACTCGTTCGTAAATGGTGCAGTACGTGCCCGCCGAAACCGCAATCCCTGGCAAATTATAACTCACTCACGTCCCCCAGTTAAGAAACCCTTTTGTAGAATACTTAGTACTTTACCAAAGCCCCCCCAGCATCACAACAAGTCTCCGGAAACGGCTCAAGGGTGCTCCAAGGCGCCCAGGATGGTCCCAATACGACACAAGAGGCTCCCTAGAGGCCCCAGAGAGAGAGCTCCAAGAGCACCCACAGGAAGGGTCCAAGAGGCCAACATCTGCGCGTTGCTTTAAGATGTTGATAGGTTTCGGCGCGCTCATATCTCCAATTGCTCCCGTTCGGCTTTCTGGCGCTGCTTCGCGACGGCGCCAACCCTCACAACAAAGTCCTTGCATACCCCAGTACTCCGAGGGAGGGAGCGGGCGGCGGAGGGTGAAACTGTTACGGATCAGAGGAATGAGACTAAAAACAGCTTTAACAATAATACCACATATATTCGTTGGGATAAAAAGGAAACTAGTCGTGGTGGCAATAATTGTGGTACCATCCACAGTGTGGATACTAGTAGTAATGAAAAATCTATTAGTAGTAGTAGTAGTAGTAGCCGCAGTAGTCGTAGTAGTCGTCGTAGTAGTAGTAGTAGTAGTAGTAGCAGCAGCAGTAGTAGTAGTAATAATAGTAGTAGTAGTAGTAGTAGTGGTAATAGTAGTAGTAGCATTGGAGTAGTAGTAGTAGTAGTGGTAGTAGTAGTAGTAGTAGTAGTAGTAGTAGTGGTCGCAGTGGTAGCAGTGGTAGTAGTGGTAGTAGTAGTAGTAGTAGTAATAACAAAAGTAGTAATAATATCAGTAGTAGTAGTTGTCGTAGTAAGAAGCGTCGTCGTCGTCGTTGCAGTAGTAATAGCAGTAGTATTAGTAGTATTAGTAGTAGAAGTAGTAGTAGTAGTAGTAGTAGTCGTAGTAGTAGTAGTAGTAGTAGTAGTAGTAATAATAGTAAAAGAAATAATACGAGTAGTAGTAAATATAATAAAGAAATAATGTTAGTAGCCGTACGAATAATCAAAATCGTTGTGGAAGTGGGAATGGTCCTAATAAACTTAGTCGTAGCAATAATAAAATATGAGTGATAAGAAGAGTACCCTAGCGAGAATAGGAATAGTCGTAGTAATAGTCGTAGTAGTCGTAAAACTTGTGAAAAAAGTAATAATGTTTTGTTATCGTGGGCGTGGTGGTCGCAGTCGTCGCCGTAGCAATCGTAATCGTCGCCGATGTCGTGGTCGTCGTCGCCGTCGTCATAGTAGTAGCGATAATACGAATAGTAGTCGTAATTCTGGTAGAAGACTTCTGGTGCTAGTACTGGTAGCACCCATGGTAGCAGTAGTAGTTACCAGTCGCAATCATAAAAACACCCGTAAGAATCGTGAGGGCAATACATCGTAGTAGTATGAGCAGTAGTCGTAGTAATAGTAGTAGTAGTAGTAGTAGTAGTAGTAGTAGTAGCAGTAGTCGTCGCAGTAGTACTAGTACTAGTAATAGTACTGGTAGTCGTACATGTAGGGGTAGAAAAAGGACTGGTAGCAGGAATAATGCTAACAGCAGTAATTGTTGCACGAGTAGCCGTAGCAAATGCCCTAACCGAACTAGGGGTAGTCGCAGTAGTAGTCGTAGAAGTAGCAGTAGTAGTACAAGTCGCACTAGTAGTGTTAGTAATAGAATTGGTAGTAGTACCAGTGGTGGTGTGAGTAGTAATGGTAATAGCAGCAGTAGTCGTAATATTAGTAGAATGGTAAGAGTGTTTGCCAAACTACAAATCGTAAAAACAATCGTATCAGGCGGGAGTCGTAACCGTAGTTGTAGCAGTCGTAGTAGTCGTAGTAGTAATAGTAGTAGTAGTAGTAGTAGTAGTAGTAGTAGTAGTAGTAGTAGTAGTAGTAGTAGTAGTCGTAGTCGTAGTAGTCATTATAGTAGCAAAAGTAGTCGTAGTAGTAATAACAGTAGTAGTAGTAGTAGTCGTAGCAGTCGTAGCCGTAGTCGTAGTAGTAGCAGCGGCAGCGTAGTAGTTCAGATCGCGGTACTCCAAATAAGAATACTAAAAATTCTTCATAAAATAATAGCGGTCACACTCGGGTAGTAGTAAGCTTTCAAAGCGTAGTAGTGATTAAATCGAGATAGTAGAAGTAGTAAGAGTCGAATGATAATAGTGGTAGTAAAGAATCAACCAGTAGTTCAAATAGTAGTTCTAGTGAGAGTGGCAGTGGTAGAAATTCGAATGCTAGTAACCCAAATCCCATTGTATTCGTAGTAGATCAAATGGCAGTCGTAGTGGTAGTAGTGGCGTACAACGTAGTAGTAGTAATGATA